TATAATATTCAGCTTCTCTCTTCCTGGCAAAATGCATAACCTCATTTATCCACATTATATCTTGTCTGCTAAGTTTTTGCCCATTTGCTTAATCTGTCTATAACTCTCCACAGAGACTTTGTGTCATTGTTACCACTTGCCCAGAATGAAGAAAATTAGCAAAGGACAAATGAGTCTATTTGATGTAAATATATAGATACTTTTGCAGTGAATATCATATTTCATGTTTGTTGTTTCAGAAAGTACTGTTCTAAATGATGAAACATATTCTCAGTTTTTAATAATAATTAGTTGATCACCTCTAGCATTTTATAATGTTGATCAGATAATACAGTCTCTGAAATCTTTGAATCTCTTGTTTGCTTTTCTTCTCTTTGCTTTAATCATCTTTTTGTTGGGAGTTAAGTAGAATTGTAGCACTGAAAGGGGCCTTGAATGGTTACAGGGCTTCATATGGATTGGGATTTGTAGGGAAGATATGATGTTCAGTGGGTCTATTTTCATCCCCTCCTCTCCCCTCTCAAATTATTTATGCTCCATGTAATTTTCACTTCAGTGCTCCCTACCCCTGTTCTTCAATAACATTACATTTGACGGTTTCATGATACCTCCGTTGTGCTGCGGAAAGTTCTGCATTTGCACACTTTATGAAATATCCTGCCAGTAAAAAAAATGGCAATGCCCAAATAAGTGCAATAAGTGTGAGCAAAAATGATAGAATGATGTCACTATCAGTGCTGGCAGGGCCACTGTGCATCCATGTTTTGCGCCTGTAATGAGGGTGTTTTCAGGAATACGTTTTGTCCTTCTACTATACCTTGCTGCCGTCACCACCCCAATGTTTCCCTTTAAGTTGCCCTTTAAAGTTTATATTTTACCCAGCCTTTATCTACTTAAAACTTATGGAACACAACACAAAAGCAATAGCAGATATGATTTTCACTTCCAGAATAACGTACCTTCTCTCCTTAAATAAAAATTACAAAAATAAAACTTGTTAATTATGTCTTTTGTTCCAAATTTATAACAGTTAAAGAGTAGTATTCCAGTAGTGGAATTCACTGAGAAGCACTGATTCATCCTTTGAAATTTGATCCATCTCACCTGTTCAGATTCCAGATTTAGCTAACAGAGCTCAAGCTAAAAATATCAAATCCAAGCCCTTGACTTTGGAAGAGGCTGTAAAAACTGGAATGAAGGCATTAAAAGACACAAAAAAAATTTAATAGATTAAATCTAACCATGTAATGAAACCTGTAATTTAAGAATTCATTTTGTTCAAACCCTCATGTCAAGCCCTTGTATATGTCAATTCCTGAATTGATGGTGGATAAAATAGCAACAATTGTGTCTCACAATATGACATCTCAAACACTTAAGTTACCTGTCATGGTACCATCTACCATAGATAAAAAAATTAACTGCAAATGCATAAACGTGCAAATGCATCTGAAATTTCATGTAAACCTAGTAGATAGGTATTTCAATCAACCTGCTTAGACATGTTACAACACTCCCCTGAAGCAGGTGGGGTGTGAAGCAAGATTTTCTGGTCCAGAGGCAGGGACACTACCACCGTACCACAAGTTTCTTTAAACTAGTAGATAAACCTTCCTCAGAACACCGGACCTGAAACGGTTACTCTGATTTTCTCTTCACAGATGCTGCCAGACCTCCTGAGCTTTTCCAGCAACTTCTGTTTTTGTTCCTGATTTACAGCATCCGCAGTTCTCTTGGTTTTGATTGTCAAATCTGTATCAGTTCCTGTCATATTTTCTCTTTTATTTTCTGAAGGCTCAGTTCCAAGGTTGCCTGAAACGTTCTGGAACTTTGAACTAAACATTGAATGTTGGCAAACTATCTAAGTGTAGGTATAATGGTATAATTTTAATTGTCGCCAATATCCAGTGACAGCATTTAGAAAATTGAACAAAATCCACAGCCATCATTCCCTTTCCTGTCTCCAACTCCCTGCTGCATTCCCAGCTGCCCTTCTCCCTTGCATTTTTTTAGTGTCGAGTCTGATGTAAAGAGATTTTGATTGAATTTCTGTATTATTAATGTTTCTGAAAAAACAGGTATTCGGAACTGATGGAGCAAGTAATACAGGGTGGAGGTGAAAAAGCAATTTTGAGGCACACCCAGAGGAATAAAAAACTCCTGGTCCGAGACCGTTTACAATTGCTTCTGGACAAAGGGGAGATCCTGGAGCTGTCTCCTTTTGCTGGCCTGGGAATGCCATATGGAGATATTCCTGCTGCAGGCTGCTTAACTGGTATTAATGTTCAGGTCAAGTTTATTTCAAAAGAATACAGTAACTATCAGTCTGGAAGAAATTTTGTCCTGGGATTTTAAAATGTTATTTTCTCTACAAATATCATTTGGAGTTGCTGATTTCCGGCTTGATCATAAATATTTTTCTGACATTATATAGGATGTCCAGCACAGAAACAGGCTAGTTGAATAGCTTTCTTCCACCCTGGCCAGTTTAATTATATGTTTGTAATCATCTGTTTTCTTTGCCTTCACTAGATCATTAAGCTTCCTTTTAAATGCATCTAGCCATTCATTTCAACCACTCCCTGTTGTAGTGATATTTCTAAAGGAGGGTCTAGGCCTGAAACATCAGCCTTTCTGTTCCTCTGATGCTGCTTGGCCTGCTGTGTTCATCCAACTCTACACCTTGTTATCTCAGATTCTCCAGTATCTGCAGTTCCTACTATCCCTGTCGTAGTGAGTTCCTTATTCTCACCATTCTAGAAAAAGAGGTTTCTTTTGAATTCTTTTTCGAATGCCTTGGTGACTATAATGAATTGATGATTTCTAGTTATGCTCTTCCCCAGAAGAGAAACATTCTGTTTCTCTCCAAGCATTCTATCAAAAGTTTAGGTAGTTTAAATATCTCTATTAGGTCACCCCTCTGCCTTTGTTGAGACACAACCTCTAGATCTTTTCCTGAAATGTATACTTTGGTTTTTCTGCACCTTCTCCAGTGCCTTTATATCATTTTTATAAAATGGCAACTAGAACTGCATGCAGGGCTCCAAGTGTACTCTAACTAAGATTTGATAGAGGTTTAGTACTTCCACCCTACTTTTCAATGTTATTCCTTTGGCAGTAAAACAGAGTGCTTTGTTTTGATGTTGTGGCCTTGCTAACCTTTGCTAGATATTTTAGTAATTGATGTATTGTGCTTCTGGAACCCCTCACTCCTTCTAAGTAATCGTCCAAATTCCTCCTTCCCAAAATGTACTACCTCACATTTATTAGTTGAATTTACATTGTCAATTTTTTGCCCATTCTGCAAATTTATTAATCGTAGAATCATACAGTATAGAAGAAGCCCATCAACCCATCGAGTCTGCATGCAGAAAAACGACTAAATCTACGTGGAACCCACTTTGCAGTATTGGCTTTGCAGTATATGACATTTTCAAGAGCTCATCCAAGCACTTTCTAAAGGTTGTAAAGTTTCCTGACTCAATTGCTCTCCCAAGTAGTGCATTCTAGATCCCCACTACCTTCTGGGTGAAAAAAGGCTTCCTCAACTTCCCTCTAACCCTCCTGCCTTTTAGTTTAAAATTATACCCCCTTGTTACTGATCCTTCAATTAATGGGAACAGCTGCTTTCTATCAACCCTGTTCATGCCCCTCATTACCTTATAATCCTCAATCAGGTCCTCCCTCAGCCTTTTCTGCTTAAAAGAAAACAATCGGCGCTTATCCAGCCTCTCTTCATAGCAAAACTGCTGTCTCCCAGGCAACATCCCAGCGAATCTTCTCTATACACACTCCATTACAATCATATCCTTCCTATAGTGTGGTGACCAGAACTGCACACAGTACTCCAGCTGTGGCCTAACCTGATTTTATAATCTCTGCCCATTTGATAAAGGTAGGTATCCCATATGCCTCCTCAACTACACTATTAACCTGTCTTGTTGACTTCCCAACCACCCCAAGATCTCCCCTTCCTCTGAGCTTTCTAGTGTCCTGCCATTCATTGAGTACTCCCTTGTCTTGTTACTTCTTCCATAGTGTATCACCTCACACTTACTAGGGTTAAGTTCCATCTGCCACTGATCTGCCCAATTTGTCTACATCCTCCTGTGACCTGAGACAACCTTACTCCGTGTTGGCCACCCAGCACAACATCGTGTCATCCACAAACTTTCTTACCATCCTCCTCATCTCCTTTGATATCTTTTCATATATAACACAAATGGTAAGAGACCCAGCACTGACTGCTGTGGTATCCCACTGGATACTGGCCTCCAGTCACGCGGGCAGCGTTCTCCTACCACCCTCTGTCTCCAATCACTAGTTAGCTTTAGATCCAACTTGCCAAGTTATCCTGGATCCCATATGCATTTATCATCATTATCAGTCTCTCATGTGAGATGTAGTCAAACGCTTTGCTGCAATCCAAGTAAACTACATCAACTATACTACCCTCACCTACATACATGGTCACTTCCCCGAAAAATCAAATTTGTTAGGCATGACCTCCCTCTGACAAAGCCATGTTGACCATTCTTGATCAAGTCTCTCCAAGTGGAAATTAATTCTCTCCTTCAGCATTTCTGCCAATAGTTTCCTACCATTGATGTGAAACGTACTAGTCATTCCCTGGTTCATCTCTCCCATCCTTCTTGAAAGTGGAACCAGTCCTCTGGCAACTCCCCTCTGGCCAGAAAGGAATCAGAAATTTGGGTCAGAGTCCCTGTAATTTCTTCCGTCATCTCCCACCGCAGCCTGGCATACAATCATTCAGACCTGGGAATTTTTCCAATCTCAAGCCTGTCAAAACCTCCAACACCTCTTCACCCCCTATATCAAACTGCTCAAAAACTTCACAGTCCTTTTCCTGAATTCTGTACCTACCTCCTCCTCCTCCTGAGTGAAGGCAGCTGTGAAGTTCTCATTTAATACATTACTGATGTCCTCTGGCTTCATGCACAGATTACCGTCTTGATCCCCAATGGGCCCTACTCATACCCTGTTTCTTTTCTTCCCCTTGTTATATTTATAAAAAGAATAACTAGGATTCTCCCTAATTTCACTTACCAGTGTTTTTCCACGGCCCTTCTTTGCTCTTAAGTTCCCTCCTTTTTTTTTTCTATACTCCACTAAGGCCTCTGTTGATTTGCTCCTTTTGTACCTGTCAAAAGCCTCTCATTTCTTTTTTTATCCAGTCTTGAAATATTCTTTGGGGTTCACTTAGCTCAGCTGGCTGGAATGCTGGTTTGCAATGCAGAGTAACGCCAATGAGCAGTAGCTGAAGTTATTATAAAGAACTCTCCTTCTGAACGTCTCCCCTCACCTGAGGCATAACGACCCTTAGTTTAAGCCACCACTAATCTCTCTCTAATGAGAGAACAACTCTATCATCAGTCGGGATTATGATGACTTTACCTTCATTCATAGACATCTAGGGTTCCTTGGACTTGTTGCTACTACATTTCGACATAAAGGGAACATGTTAGGCTTATGCTCTTGTCAATTTCACTTCAATTGCTCCCCACTCCCCTGCAATAGATGTATCTGTGCTGTTTCCAGTCTACCTTGGCCAGATCCTATCTTATTTTAATAAAATCTGCCTTACCCCAATCCAAAACATTTTTTTCTTGCAGACCATCTTTTTCCTTTTTCAAAACAAACTTAAACGTATGGTGTTATGGTTGCTATTGATAAAATTCTCCCCTACTGCCATCTCAAACACTTGTCCAGCTTTGTCCCCAAAAAATAGATCCAGAACTGGACTGTCCCATTTTGGACTTTCTACATGTTGATATATAAAGCTCTCCTGAATGCATTTCAAGAAATCTGCCCCCTCTAAACCCTTTAAGCAATGACCATCTAAATTAATGTTGGAATGTTGAAATCCCCTAACATAGTAACCCTATTACTGTTTTTAACCTCAGTGAATTTGTAACATCCTCTCATAACTTGCTACAGTATTGACTATCCTTTTCTCCCAAATTTGGTGCCATCGCAATTTAGAAATTTTCAGTTCTAAATTATTAATATAAATGATGAACAGCAGTGGTCACAGGACTGATTCTTGAGGAACAGTACTTTTCACTTTCAGCCACTCTAAATAGCTAGCCTTTATTCTTAATTCTTCTCTTAGCTTTCTGTCTTGAAGTTACTTAGCAATCCTTCCTGCCACTTGTTGCTTATGTCCACAGTCTCTGATCTTATTTATTAAACTATTATGGAGCACTTTATCAATGGCCTATAAAATACAGAAACATTACATCTATCATATCAATCTTACAGTGTTGAAAGTATATCATTCAACATTCTAATACAGGAATTCAACATCCACCATCTTTAAACATTCACTTTCTCCACAAGTTGCACTGTAAAAACACACCAAGATTCCATCAACAGTACCTTCCAAATCTGCAACCTCTACTTCCAAGAGGGAGATGGGGACTAAATGCACCAGAGCACCACCACCTGCATGTTCCCATCCAAGCCACACGTCAATCTTAAATGGAATTATATTGCTGTTCCTTACATTGTAACTGGGTCAAAATCCTGGAACTCCCTTCCTGACAGCACTGTGGGTAGATTTCACTGCATGAACCGCAGCAATTAAAGACAGGAGCTCATCATTACCTTCATGAAGATGGTTAAGGATGAGCAACAAATGCTGACCTTGTCAGCGATGCGCACATCTTGTGAAAAAAAATTTAAACAAATATTTTGTGTTGATTTGAAAAATGGTATTTTTCCCTACACGCACATTATAGAATTAACTCCCATCACCGCACATTTGCTTTAATCTTCAAGAGAATACCAGAGATCGCTTATTTTTAAACTTGCAACTGTGTAGCCTTTGGTGCTATATTCACCTCAATACTTCCACAGTTCAACTACTTCCTCACCTCTATCTTTGATATCTTTGTCCAGAGTAATCTTGGATCCTTTGTCAAAATCTCCCAAAGCCTTCCTTCTGCTCTAACCTTAAACGTTGGCTCCCAGTAGCAGCCGTGTGTACCATTGACAAGATTCACTGCAGAAATTCACCAGTGCAACAGCACCTTCCAAAACCACAGCTATTACCATCTAGGGCAACAGGACCACTTGCAAATTTCCCTCTCAGCCACTCACCATCCTGACTTGCAAATATATCGCCATTCCTTCAGTGTCACTGGATCAAAATCCTGGAACTGATTGAACTAACATCAAATGGATAGTAGTGGTTCAAGAAGGCAGCTCACCACAGCCTTCTCAAGGGCAGCTAGAGATGAGCAATAAGTGCTGGCCCAACCAGCGATAACCACATTTCATTAATGAACTTTTAAAAATCCTTCCTGGCCACCATGCTAACTATCATTGTAAATGATCCCTCATTGCAAGTACTTCTCCTAACTTTTCAAAACTGCTGCCACCATCCCCTCCTCAAAGTCCACTCATAGCCTCTGATCTGACAAACTATCATGTAATCTCTAACCCTTGCAACTCCAAAGCTTTTGAATGCGTTATTGCCTTCCAAATATGTGCATATCTTTCTTGCAACTCCCAAGTTAGTCTGTCCAATCTGCTTTCTACTTTTGCCATTTCCCTGAATTTGCTATCTTCAAAAACTTGCGTTACTCAAAAGAAAGAAAAGAAGAGAAATATGCATTTATAAATTTCATGATTTCAGGATGTCTCAAAGCACTGTACAGCCAATTATTTACTTTAAACAGGTAATCATTGTAATAGGAAACCTATGTAAATGTGACCATAAGACGTTTTGTCTCTGTCTGTACTGCTTTTGATACATTGAAATACACAATTCCTTTTCAGTGCCTTTCCTCTGTTGTCAGAGAACTTTTCTATCCTGATTTTACTCCTACCTATCAAACCATAGTACACATTTCCTACATTGGCTTCCTTTCCTGTCCTTGCATCCCCCTTCCAAGACGACCGATTGTGAGTCCCTTCTGAGTCCCTTATTGACTTGTTACAAGCTGTTGACATCATGAATGTGGGATAAAATTTCGCACGTAGACTGCTGACAATCAGTTTGTCCTCTTATCATCTCTCTCAATGTCAGATCACTTTTTCAACATCCACCCCTGGGTTAAACCATAATTTTCCCCAGTTAAACTGGGAAGATGGATGTCATATCTCTGGCTCTCACCACAAGGTCTGCAATCGTGCCACTAATTCCAACCTGACCAGCTGTCATCCTGGGTTGAAGAAAAACTGATTTTTTTTTCCTAGCTTGTTTGAACTTGAGTTGAGCTTTAAACACCAGATCTTCACCACCACAAAGATCACTCATTTTCATCTCTGAAGCATTCATTGATGCCCCTGCATCTGCGGCTGGAATTCTCATTTCTGCTGTTGTTAGTTCCAGGCTCAGTTCCTTTGGTTGGCTTTCCACTCTCCCTTCCAAAACACCAATAGCCCCTCCCCGCATCAATAAACCCAAACTCATTTAAAATCCTGTTCATTCATTATGTCATCCTTGCTGATATATAGTGATTTTCAGTTTCCAATAAAATTCTCCTCCTAAGTTTTAGTTCATTTCATGGTCTCAACCCTCACTTTCTATAACTGTCTTCAATTCTAAATTCTTTGCAAACCCTTGAGTTCTTCCAAATCTGGTCTATTATACAAAACGTCCTTTCTCTTATTTTACTATTGCTGAGTTCTCTTTGACCTGCCTCACTAATTTACTTTGCAAGGCCCAGCTCTTTGGTCATGTTTTTAGTCATTCATCCTAATTTAGGACTCTGTCTGATTATGCCTCCTTAACCGTTACTATATAAATGGAACCATATAAATTTGTTATTGCTGAATTACATGATTCAGTTATTGAGAACAATAAGTAGTAACACTTTCATTTTGTCCTACCTACTTTGCTGGTCTTGTGTATTAGTGATTTTTTTTTTGTATTTCTGGCTTGAAGAGTTTATGTAGAATCATTTTTAGATTCATGGTCACAGTGCCACAGGAGTTAGCTCAGTTGCAAAATAGATAATCTCAGTAACTCCTTCAAACAGTAAAATCAACAGACTTGTGTCGCTTTGGTAATCTGTGTAATCTAAAATGTAATGTTGAAACATGACAGTTAATTTGTGCACAGCATGCTCCTAAAAACAGTAATGTGATAAATTACTGAATTGTCTGGTTTTAGCAGCGTTGGTTGAGGGATAAGTAATGGCCAAGGCATGAAGGAGAAATCCAATATTCTTTGAGACAGAGCTGTGACGTCGCATACATCCACCTAAGAGGACAGATAGGTCTTCAGTTTAATTTCGCGTCCTAAAGATAACAATGAATCTGTTGCTGAATGAAACAAAATATGAAAAGAAGTGCCCAGATGATATCACTATCAAGTATTTAATTTTGATAGGGCAAGTCAAAGGAGGTTGTGTTTTGTTGGCAACTATTTATACTTGGTATAGTAATGTATTTTCTCAAATGCCTTAGTGGGCATTGTTCACTATATTTATTTCAACAGACCAAGTGGCCCCCTGTTCATTTCCTGCACTGATATTTTCTCATCAACCTGTTCAGTGGTGCTATTATATATCTATCTGCTGGAGCAGGTGAGACTTGAACCCAAGTTATTTGGCTCAGAGGTAGGGGCACTACTACAAGAGCCTTCAGTTCTTGGTCTGTGTTGAGTTAACTAACCTCAGGCAGGTGGTGATCCAAGATAAATACGTAAAAAATAGGACTGGATCAGATAGTCCCTTGAGGCTGTTCCACCACTCAATAAAATCATGGCTAAACTTATATTAGCCAATCTTTTCTGCCCTTTTCCTCCTAAACCTTAATTCACTTAATGCCTAAAAATCTATCACTATTACAGATGGCCTTTGCACTTTCAACATAGAGGGGAGAAACAACTGACAATCCTGCTTCTATTTGCTATCCAGTGATCTCTGTAATAAATATGTATGTATGGACACAGGACTATAATATATTCTAATGAGTATGAAACTTTCCTAATTAGATAGTAATTTCATAGATGATAGTGAGAATAATACACTTTTATTTTACCATGCTGATAATGAAATATTTTAAGGACCTTAATGTCAAATTAAATTGAGGCTATTCAAACCAGAACATTAAACAACTAAACAAGTCAGCATTTTCTGATGTAGCCAGGTGCAACTACAAAATATCCAGTACCTTGTATATGTTTTAACAAAGTGCCACATGTTTGAAAATAAACAATAATCTATATTATAAGCAATATTTTAAACTACTGCTGCAAAACACATGGAGAAAGGAAATGAGTAACCAACTAAGCTGAACTAAACAAATAAATCAGACTGCTCCTTAGATCAAAGTCTAACAATTTAAAAAGAACAAACTCCTCAATGTCCTTGCTAAGTTACGAATAATCAATATATATCAGAGTTGCCAGGAGAGAAGCTGTTGCAATCAGTGTAAAATGATAAGCAGGCCTGTATCTCTAAAATAAAAATTTTCTGGCTGTCTAGCCTGTGAATATCAAACTAAGAAGAGCTTCCCTCTTACTAAAACACATATTGACAATGCCAATACTTGTAAAAATGTGAATGTTTAATTGAACTTAGATAATTCTGAGCTCAGTGTTAGTGAGGTCAAACTTCAATATAAAATGAGACCACTTCCTTTGATTTCAATTTTCTGTTCTGAAGTAACTGATTCACATTAAATGTAACTGGTAACTCCCCTAAGGGACTGTTTAACATCATGTGAACCTGGACAATGGGCAACAGCAAATGATTAGAGGAGAAACTATGATACAAGCTTTATTCTTGTTCTTGCCCTTGCATTTGTACTTATGTCACTGAATCACAAACAGTACATGGTGCTTGGTTTATTTTATTTCCTCTCAGTTTAGCCCAGAATCTCATGATTTTAAATTATCCATCAGATTATTGCAAATTTATTTCAGAATTAATGATTGTGATTGAATGTCAATATTTAATTCTGTGTTCTTTGTTATCTTTACACTATCTGTTTAGGAGTAGGTAAAATCAGTGATGTCTGGTGTGTATTCATTGCTAATGATGCAACAATCAAAGGAGGGACAGCCTACCCAATCACAGTGAAGAAGCAGCTGAGAGCCCAGGACATTGCAATTCAAAATGGGCTGCCTTGCATTTACTTGGTGGATAGTGGGGGAGCATTTTTACCACTTCAGGTAACAGTAGAGCACTTCACATAGGAACCTTTACAAGCCAATCACAAGATTACAATGATATTGCGTGCACTTTACTGAATTCACTGAAGTCTCTTGTTTCTTCTTTGTAACATATTCTGAAGAACTAACTTCTTTGTCACAGATTGTAGTATTTTGCTTGAGGTCATTGCACCACAGAGTACCAGGATGAAGCAAGTCCCAAATATGCCCCTCCGGCAGTTTTCGGGTGAATGCCAACCAATTCCCCATATTTGTGGGTCATAGTGCCAATGTTAGAAAAAGATGAGTGTGTTGTATGGAAAGGTATTCTTGTAGAACTGATTTAAAGTGCAGAACATGAAGTATGAGTACTTTCACCTTCTTGTGGAAATAGTTCTGTTCGTTGTAATAATCCTTCCCTTTCCTCAATGACAGTATAAGAACAGGGACCAGTGCTGAATTCTCACAATGTTATTTGACCTTTGAGACAAAGATGATCATGTTCATCATCGAACATTCGATAACACTCCAATGGGAGCATACGTGATTGCTAAGGCCGAACTGCACCCGCAAGGCTACAAATAGGAGAGGATACTGGAGACAATAAGATTTAGACCAGCTACTGGCTCAGGCTTTCTTCTCCTTGTGTTTTCTCTCTGCCACTTGCGTGTGTTTATTTTTGAAGGAGTCCATGCCCATTTCTATTTGTTACAGCAAATGCTATGATCTCTGGTGAGCTTCTTCCATAACTTGGGTTCAATGTGTAACCTTATGTAAAGCCTTCAGAGTGTACTTAGAGTTTCCTTTGACCACCATGAGAGTGTGCCCCACATTCAATCCCTCCACAAAAAATGTACTTTGATAAGCGAGTGTCAGGCATTCTGGTTGCATGACCAGCCCAAATCAGTAATGACTGTCTCAGTATGTTGTGATGCTTGGCATGCTAACTCAAGTGAGCTCGTCAGTGTCTGGTATTTTGTCCTGCTATGCAATCTTCAGAATCTTCTGGAAGACCGGTGAAGTGAAAATCATTGAGCTTTTTAGCATGATGCTGGTACGCATTCCACAGTCCAAGTCTTACATCCGCACAGCAGAGTGGGCAAGACTTGTTACTCTATGGAATTTCAGTTTTTTTTGACAGAGCTGCTCTTCTTTGCTTCCAGATTGATGTTTAAATTCTGTTAAAGGCTACTCTTGCGTTAACAATTCTTGCATCTTGTATTTTACATAGATGGCTGAAGAGAATGTATTGCTAAATTAAGTAAACTTAACTGCTTCTGACAGACTCTAACCATATGCAGAAACCTAGAGCTCATGATAGGGCCTTCTTAGAGCAGGCTGGTACATTACTTCAGTTTTGATGATAAGGCCAAGACATTGGAGAACAAGTGCATGCCATTCAGCATCACCAGCTCTGATCTCGCAGCTAGTTCACAGTCATTAGCAAATAAGAAATTGTCAAATGTGACCTTTGGGACTTTTGGTTTTTTCCTCGAGTTGTCTCAGATTGAGTAACTTTCTATCCATATAATAGTTGACTTGATACCAAGATCACCATCAAGGAAGACATTTAGAGAACATGGTGAAGAAAACATTTTCTGAAATGGGTTGGTGCTAGCACGCATCTTTGTTTAACTTCTTCAGTGACTGAGAGTGGGTCAGAGGACTCACCATGATTTGGGACACGCATAAGCATGCCATCATGGAATTGTCACACCATTGTGATGAATTTTCCCAAGGCCTTCCAAAGGTGCTTATGGCTGACTGTGTTACAGGCCTTTACAAAGTCAAGAAGAGTAGTGTAGACGTGCATGTTCTATTCTTGGTATTTTTCCTGGAGCTGTCTAGCTGTAGGTACCATGTCAGTTGTTGCTCAGTTTTTTTTTTTTTTTTTTGAAACCACAGTGACCATCTGGCTACAGATCCTGATCAAAATGTTCCATTCGGTAGTCCAAAAGGTTTGTGGCAATATATTTGCTCCAACGGAAAGGAATGACATTCCCTGACTGTCACTAGACTGGAGAGTTGCTTACTGCTTGTACAGGTCAACATGTTTGTATTCTTATGAAATAATTCCTTGCTTGCACATAGACTTAAATAGTTCATTGATTTTCTTGACAAGCATTGACCTTCGATCTTTTCAACATTAGCTGGGATGGCATCACCTGCTTGAATTATCCTGCTAGATTGATGTTTGATAACTCTCATTGTTTCTCACAGTATAAGATCATCATCAAGACATCAATTAATGAAAACCTGCAGCAGCCTCTTGATTGCCTTATCATTGGTGGATGAAGGCACATTGAGGATGTAGTTAAAGTGCTCTAATCAACTTCTTGGAATTTGGACTTTTTATGTGAACACCAGTGCCACCATGTCAACAAAGATTTGTGGTGAATTAGTAAACAAGTGCTCAAAGACATACTTCAAAACATTGGAGAGATCTGTTCTAGTCATTGGCAGTGGCATTTGGGTAAAATTCATCTATTTTCTTATTCAGTCAAGCGTCTTGTGTCTATCTGAGCTTGCACTGAGCAGTTCTGGGATGTTTCAGTAGGCATCCTGCTTGGACAGTGATGACTTGTAATTGAACAAAAGCCTATAGTGATATTGTTTCTCTAGCAGTAACTTCTGGATCACCTCTTTTTTTTTTTTTTTTGATGCAGTTCTTTTTACGCACAAGGTGGTAGGTGCCTGGAACGCTCTTCCAGGCGAGGTGATAGAAGCAAATATGGTAGTGACATTTTAAGAGGCGTTTAGATAGGCCTATGAACAGAAAGGGAATAGAGGGATTTGGACCATGAGTAGACAAATGGGATTTGCATCATGGTTGGCACAGACATGCTGGGCTGAAGGGCTGAAATTCTATAGAGTAACAGTCTTGCCTACTTTGCTGTACAGACGTAAGACTTGGACTGTGGAATGTGTACCAGCATTATGCCAAAAAGCTAGTGATTTTTCACTTCAACTGTCTTCCAGAAGATTCTGAAGATTGGATGGCAGGACAAAATACCAGATACTGAGATGCTCACCTGAGTTGGCATGCCAAGTATCATATTGAGACAGTCCCAACTGAATTGGGCTGGTCGTGCAGCCAGAATGCCTGACTCTCGCTTATCCAAGTAAATTTTCTACGGAAAGATTGAATCTAGGGTGCACTCTCATGGTGGTCAAAGGAAACATAGAAAAAAGGTGCAGGAGTCTGCACCACCATTCAATATGATTGTGGCTGATCATGCTGTACTGATCTATGTGAAGTGATCTTAATGTTTAAGAGAAGATTGAAGAGCAGTGGAGCAGACTGTCTCCCTGGAGATTATCTAATCCTCCTCGATGTAGTGAGTGTCCTTTTCATTGCACACAAGTGACTCCGAGAGATTCTTTCATGACTGCCTACTTGAGCCTTGAGACACGGAGATGCTTTTGGATCTTAGATTTGAAATATCAGAGTGGTGGTCGGCACTGTACATGTGTTTCACACACATTCTTTCTGCCCTAACACCTGTTAATGTCATAGTCAATTGGATGTCAATGCATGGATACAGTTAGAGGTGTATCCAAGATGCATTGTTGCAATTAAGGAGGTGGAAAATTGTGTCGGTATGAAGAACTCCTACTTAGTGCACATTTTCAGCATGAGAAGACCATTGCTGTTTGACCTCCTAACTCATTTATTTTCAGTGATCTCCATCAATGTTGAAATCTACAAAACTGCTAAATTTATTTGATTTTATTGCTGTATCGAAGAGTGGAGGTCTTCAGATAAATTTATCCTTGACTTCAAAGGGATTGGATTTGATGGTGGTATACACCTGGATGAGAATTGATTGTCTGTCGCCATGCAGGGGTGTTTGAGTACCATCAGACAATCATTACTCCGTGGGAGAGAAAGATGGGTAATGACAGCTTTCCTTTTTCACATTCTTCTTGCCATTCTCATTTTCACAGTCTCTCCAAAAAAATGCATAACCCACACAAATTTCCTTAAGCTGGCTCTCCTCAGATAGATGAGTCTTGCTCAGGGCAGCACTCAGAACATTGTACCTCATCAGCTTTCTACTGATGAACAGTTATTCTTTCAGATCTGTTGAGCTGCTTATGTTGGTAGGGTCCCCACCAGTTGTGGCCTGTTGGCTAGAGTAAGTAAAGCCTGGAATGTCTTTGTAATACATTGAGAGTTTGATAATAAGATTACAATTGTGCATGGGAGCATATATACTAAAATTGTACCTGTGCCTCTCTCAGGCAGATATATTTCCTGATAAGAACCATGGCGGTCGAATGTTCTACAATGAAGCAATAATGTCTGCAATGGGCATTCCTCAGGTAGCGGAAAATTTTTCTTCCTGTCCTTCTATTATTAAGATTAATGATCTGTGAATCTCAAATGCATTAGTAGGGTAAGAGACCATAGTAGTTATCCTTTTGACATCAGGTATTAGGGTGATTACTTCAAAGTAGGGGCCTGGAAATCCCTTGAAATTAGGAGTATGATAGAACCAGAGAAATCTATGCAGCCATTCAGGGACCTGGAGATAGGGGCTACTTCATCTCTTCATTATCCAAAAACAAAATTCCATATGCTTATCTCTTCTCGGCAGTTGGTTTTTCCCACTGTCAAGCAGCAAACGCAACATCTTCCTCTTGGCTCGATGTCACTATTACATTATGGCACTGATGACGTGGTGAGGCTATTTTATCTGTTGAATAAGTTCCCCCACCTGCCTTTACAGGAATTTTGACAAAATTTCTGCTGTTAATGATAATGAAGGGGAACAGGCTGGTAATGTGACTTTCATGATAGTAACCTATTGCCTGATCCTTCCTAAGCATGGGTTGGGGTTAAAGCTGAGGCTTTAAATTGGCGTGAAATTGCTCCTTGACAGTAGCACAAAACAGACAATAACAAATTTCCAGCCTCTTTTACACCTGATTTTCTTTCCTGTAATATTAATGTAAACTTTGTCAAATTGCTATTGGTATAGACCAATCTCACCCTCTATTTCTTCTGGAAATTATGGAACAAAACATTCAGAAAAGCAGAAAACAAATGGGAATAAAATAAGAAGCCTTTACTTTTGAAAAAATAAGTATTTACTTTCTGTCTCAGCTATTTACTGAATTCAGCGCTGAAATGTCAGCATTTCGTTGTGTTTTCTAGGTAGCAGTTGTGTGTGGCTCATGCACCGCTGGTGGCGCGTATATCCCAACAATGGCAGAAGAAACCGTGATGGTGGACAGGATCGGGACAATATTCCTTGCTGGACCCCCACTTGTCAAAGCAGCAACCGGGGAAGATGTTAGTCCTGAAGAACTGGGGGGTGCAACTCTGCATGCAAAGTAAGTACTTGAAATTATCATAATAGGATGGAAATCATTATTCTAAATGGCACAAAATGTTTATTTTTGTGTGTCCAAGCATTCTTGAAGATATGGGCTAACTGCTTTAATTGCAGATTCAGGTATTCAGCAGATGCTAGATTTTCATATTAGTCTACTGTCAAAATAATTAGATCCTAAGAAACAGGAGCAGGAGGACGCTATTCAGCTCAATAAATCTGCTTCATTGATGATCTGATTGTAGCCAGCTGTCTGTCCCCTGTAACCTTTAGTTCCCTTGATACAATGTCCTCTGCTCTCTGGGGAAGAGAAAGCCAAAGACTGACCACTCTCTGAGAGAAGAAATTGCCTCACTTGTGCATCTTAAATTCACAAATGGAGTATAATGTGGGAAAATATGAGGTTGAACACTTGTCCCATGTACCGAAGTACAGTGAAAAGCTTTGTTTATGAGCAGTACAGACCGGTCATAATAAGCAAGGATATACAGATCAAAAAGACTTAGAGGCATACAGGTTACATTGCACAAGGTGTATGCTAGGCGAGATCAACGCTAGCAAGATCAGCATTGTTTGAAGCTAGAGAACCCATTCATCAGTCTAATAACAGTTGGGAAGAAGCTGTTGCTGAACCTGCTCGTGCATGTGTTCAGGCTTCTGTGCTTTCTGCCTGACGGAAGAGGTTGTAGGAGATCATTACTGAGGTGCGATGGGTCTTTGATGATATTGGCAGCCTTTCCGCGGCATCGAGCCATGTAAATGGAGTCTATGGATGGAAGGTTGGCTTCCGTGATGATCTGGGCTGTGCACACCACATTTTTGTAATTTCTTACGTTCCTGGGCAAAGCAGTTGCCACACCATGCCGTTCTTCACCTGGACAGTATGCTTTCAATGGTGCATCTGTAGAAGTTGGTGAGGGTCCTTGTAGATGTGTCAAATTTCCTGAGCTGCCTGAGAAAGAAGGGGCGTTGTTGTGCCTTCTTGACTGTCACATCTGTGTGGGAAGCCCAGGACAGGTTGTTGATTATCGTCACTCTGCAGAACTTGATGCTCTCCACCCTCTCCACCTCAATTCCATTGATGTAGATGGGGGTGTGTTCTCCTGCTTTCTTTCTGAAGTCAATTATCAGTTCTTTAGTTTTGCAGATGTTGAGAGGGAGGTGGTTTTCATTGCATCAAGCCACCATTTATCTTCCTTCTGTATTTTGACTCATCGTTATCATACATCTGTCCCACTGAGGTGGTATTGTCAGTGGACTTATAGATGACATTTGTTCGGAATTTGGCAACACAGTGGTGGGTGTACAGGGAGTACAGCAGGGGGCTGAGGACATATCCTGGGTGGAGGCTGCAGTGTTGAGTGTTATTGAGGAGGAGACGCAGTTACTTGTGTTCACTGATTATGCTCTGTGGGTCATAAAGCTGAGGATCTAGTTGCAGAGGGCAGAGCCGAGACCAAGGTCACAGAGTTTTGTGATCAGTCTGGAGGGGATAATGGTGTTGACTACCTCTTTTTGTCTTCAATGAGCAGGAGTTTGATAGGTGTCTTTGTTGTCCAGAGGTTCCAGGAATGAGTGCAGGGCTAGGGATATGGCAAGTGTTGTGGACCTGTTACGTTGGTAGGCAAATTGTTGGGGATTGAGGCAGGCCGGGAGACTAGAGTTGATGTGGGCCATGACCAGCCTCTTGAAGCACTTCATGATTATTGAGGTCAGAGCCACTGGTGGTAGTCATTAAGGAACGTTGCATGTGCTTTCTTAGGTACGGGATGATGTTGGTCTTCTTGAAGTAGGTGGGGACTTTGGCGATGTCGGCGAATCCCTCTGTCAGATGGTCCGCAAAGGATCCGAGTGTTTGGCTGGGGCCACTGTCCGGGTGTGCCGCTTTCCTTGGGTTGACTCTCAGGAAGACAGAGAGCCTGCAGTAACAAAGGGATGTCGTTGTCCTTGTACTTGAATTATAAAGTTAACTTGCCGTTATAACAAGTGTAGGAGCGAGATTCCGCTGACTGGGGGCAAAGACTCAGGATGCAGACCGGTGCAGGCACGTAGTGGATCTTTATTCAAGCAAAAACCGGTTAGTGCAGGGAGATGGCCAAAGGATCTTCCCCGAATCTGGCTTCAACATGAGGATGCAGTTACCCCCTTAATCTTCAACACAGATCAGAAGAGAGATCAATGACACACTCTGATTTTTACAGTTAAAAAGCAGTATTTTTATACATTTTGTGTACAGTAATCATACGCAATGTAATTGCTGTACCCTCCCCTTCTGTGGGACCAATCCTGTAAATCACCTGATCAATGATGAACATTAGTATAGACAACTGTAGGCTCTTAGTTTTTTTATGATGTTTAACAATTATTATAATCTCTGGACCTTGGGATCTTTCTGTGTTGCATTTCAAAGTTACTGGCTGTCCTCTTTTCGGCCTGCCCTTCATTCTTTATCTCTAAGGACAGTTTGAATTCTATTGTCCATTGCATTGGCTGTCTCTTGTCAAATTCCATTATCCATTTTTATATAAAAAGTTGATTGTCTTATAAAACTCATAATATTAATAAAAATTATAACTTTTATGATTATTTTCTATTGTTAATATTTTTTAGCTAATCAGACAAGATATGCCAGGCATCTCTTTAATGTTTTCCCTTAATGCATTCATTATGAAGTTTTAAATCTATTTCTGTGATTATTTAAAGAATCTTTGACTAGAACTTATTAATATTGTAAATAGTTTCAACGAGACAGCTAATTTCTGCAAAATAACTTGAGCTGCTGTTTTTTATGGCTGAACACATCCTTAATGAGACTGGAATTAATTACTTGTTGTGATTTTTTTCAAAGTTTTTAAGTTACAATTTCATTATTTCTTCAGTGTTTCATTTCAAAAAGAACATTTGGAAGATTTGTACTTTCTTTATCACTGTGTTTGTATTCTTTGGGATCTTGCCATTCAGATAATGCTTTCTTTTGCCTTAGACTAATTTCCTTCTAAAAGGCCCATTGTTGTTACTTATGCTGAAGCAAGCTTTTTTAAAGTCTGGCCATTTTGTGGCTTTTAAATTCCAGCCATTTTGTATCTCTTAAAAACAGGCAGCTCCAACAGTTCTCTCCTTTGGTCCTTGGCCAGATTATGATCGTAGGGACATTATTAACGAAAGGTCCACAGCAAAATCACAAAAAGTTCATACCAATGTCTTTACGCTCATCAGCAAAAGTCTGAGCCCATGAGTGTAGTCTTCTTTCGGCAGTGGCACATTCACAATCCCTTTCTCGTCATTCATTTGAGCTGGTTATTTTCTCGACATTCTACCGGTAATCGGTCTTAATGTTATGTAGCAGGGTGACCTTGGTCCGTGGTTCTTCCACAGTCATCTTTTTCATTATTTAGCTATTAGACACTTGAGGAACCAATAAATAAGATAACATGGGCATAGTATGACAATGAAAATTACTGTTCCTGGGACAATGGATGTCCCCAGGGATCCCAGCCATCCTGCTGCCTAACTCCGAAGGGTTGAAGGTGGGCCTTGTTTGAGTTTGATCATTAGGAATGTGATCAGCCAAATCAGTAATTTCCTCAGAATTGTCTGGGATGTACATGCAGCACTTCTTGCCAATGAATGCACACGTACCTCCTTTTTCTGCTAGTAGGCAGTCAAGGGCCATCCTATTCTGTAATGCTGTGGGTTGGATGGCAACCATCTCTGCATTAATCTTAACAAGGGCCTGAGAAGTATCATTTGCTACCTGTTCAAGGAAAGCTGCTATATTGATAGATTCCCTAGTTAGCTTGATACACCGTACCAGGGTAACAAGATGGCAAAGAACCTTTCCATTTCTGTAATGGCACATTTGTGCTGTCTGACTGATCCCTCCAGGAGGGATGACATATGGTGTACAAATGGCACCACGTAACTTGTGTAACGTGACCCTGTCCAAGATGGTGATAGCCAGGTGTAAGCTTTGTGCCCACACACAAACTAGGTGCTGTTGTTTGGGATAAACTTAGTTAAATAGTCAGAACGCCAGATGTAATTAAAGGTTCTGGCTGACGTGAGGTTAGTAAAATTAAATTTAGATGTAAGCAAAGTGACATTAAAATACTGAGTGCAGCTACTCTGACCTGCAGACCACCCCCTTTTCTTAGATCCAACAAAACAAATAGAGGTAACTGTTTTTCTACCCTTGATGTGTTGGTAATGGTAACAAATAGTGGTATATGGGAGGTATTGAATTGGAGTTGGTACCAACTTTTAAAAGCAGAAAAGCTGTACCCTGCTGATTCGTGCTTATCTTGGGTACTACTCCTGTCCACCCAATGTATCCCATTCTTCGTAGAAGGTTTACCAGTCGCAAAACTCCAGTCTTTAAGGATTTGTTCAGGCAAGTGATCCATTCAACCACTTCAGATACATTAAAAGGAATAGGTCTCAGAGGGATACTGCTCTTTGAATGTGCCTGTCAGCCTCTAATGGGATCAAAATTGGAAGGAGCCCACAGAGGATTAGTGTTTTCATGCTTATGCTAATATCAACAATATACTTTATTACAGTCACTGTGCAATCACGTAACATATTTACACGCAATTTAATCTATTCTGGCTGCCGTCCTGGGTTGAGGATCCTGTTCCTGTTGCATGTAGGCTCTATTCGTTGAAGACCCTTTAAAACCTGCATAAGGGAGAGATGAGAGCGGGAGAATAGCAGACTAGCAGGCTGGACTGTCGTACTATTAATGGCTATATATCTTCAGCTGAGTAGGATGTCTTAATTTACCAATTCTATTTTCATTAACAAGTGCACTCCTGTTACCTATTAATATTACTTTGGGTTTATTTTTAATCCAGAAGTTTTGACAGTTTTTAATACTTGCAGTGCTGTCCTATAGTGTTTTCTTCAGTAGGAGAGGTTCAGTAGTAGTAGGGGAGGCGATGGCCTAGTGGTATTATCGCTGGGCTGTTAATCCAGAGACGAGACAACATTCTGGGGACCTGG